AACTAGAACGAATCTTCTGCAGAACATGGAATAATACGCCGCCATATGTTTTGTCTTTTGTGCATGTGGTGAGTAGAGGCCCTGTGCAGTAAAATTTCTCGTTTTTCTTTTTTCTTGTTTTTCTTTTTTCTTGTTTTTCTTTTTTCTCATTTTTCTTTTTTCTCATTTTTCTTTTTTCTCGGTTTTTTTTTTTTCTCGGTTTTCTTCTTTTAGGAATACGTGTAGTGGCCCTAAGGGCCTCTACTCACCACATGCACAAAAGACAAGACATATGGCGGCGTATTATTCCATGTTTTGCAGAAGATTCATTTTAGTTTTGCACATTTGGTGAGTAGTGCAGCCAAGCCCTGAGAATCATGTGCAGGGCCTAGCTACTTGAGCAACCCATAACTGCTGAAACACAGACCTAAATTCGAATCTTGAGTATATATTCGGCCAGCTCGTGCTCTACTTCATATTCACTGCCTGACTTGATTTTGGTGGGGGGGTCTGCGCTACATGGCTGCGAGGACCCTTCAGATAGCCTGCATGGACCGTCTGAGCCGTGTTAGGGGGATTCCCCCAACCCCCCCCCCAAAAAAAAAGGACTCTTCAAATATGGCTGGGGGTGACGCGGTAGGGGCGGTAGGCCTCCGGGGGGGGGGGGTTCATTTTCAGGGTTCGCTGAACGAGGCCCACCACCCCGTAGTCCGTTTTTTTTTTTTGTTTTGTTTTTGGGGTCCGGGGTTCGTTGAACGAGGCCCCTGGGGTCGCGTTCAATTTTTTCGCGCCACGTGGCGCGCAGCACGTTTGAACGTGATTGAACGCGGCCCCGGGGGGTATGAACGCGCGTTCAGCCGGTTACACAGGCAGAGCGGGAACTCCGTTTTTTCTCTTTTTTGGCTGGTAGGGGGTTGTTTTGTTTGCACACGTTTGTGGTTTATGTCGACGGGCACCTGCCCATATATATATATATTTATTTTTTTTCTCGATCAGAATTTTTTTTTTTTTTATTGGAAAAATAAATAAAAAAAGTATCGAGTTCGGTCGTGTTAGGCATAGCTCTCGTCGGCCGTGTAGGGCATTCTGAGGGTGTTTAAGGCCCAAAACAAAAAAAAAACATTGATGACACTACAGTAGACTTCGCGCCATACCAGAAGGGGAAAAAAAAAAAACAGATAGGCCTCGTTTCCCGACAGGCGGGTTGGCCCTTCGTCAGGTGCAGGTTCGTGGTGCGATAAAGCAACGACCACAACAGGGGCCGCCATTCATTGCCCTCTCACACACACACACACACACACACAGAGAGAGAGAGAGAGAGAGAGAGAGAGAGAGAGAGAGAGAGAGAGAGAGAGAGAGAGAGAGAGAGAG